GGGATCCCAGGGACCCACCTTCAGAGGAGCAGGTAGACTCCTCAGTGCTGGATCCCCCGCTATCCAGGTGCCTTCTCTCCCAGTTGGGTAACCTGTTGATGTCTGAAAGAGGACAGAGTGGCAGCGGTGGCCCTCCCCATGTCACTCAGTCCCCCAACGTTTCCCGTTTCCTGAAATGCTCCAGGGGTCAGGCCCAGCTGCATCCTGAAGATGCAGATCTTTTTAAAGGGGAGACAATTCTTGTTCAGAGCAAGGACGGGGAAATGGTGGGAAGGCAGGTCTGAGAGCACAGAGCGGGCACCGGCTGAGATCAGGGAGGAGGCTGCTTCTGAAAGGCTACCTGAAAGCTTGCGCTGGAACAGTGAATGGGATTGAGTGAGCCAAGGGGTCTAGGCAAGGAGGGATAGTCGCAGAAACCCCCCCAAAATGTGGAGAATCTGGTGAGAAGGTATCTCCAAGTGAGAAGACCTCCCATTGGTCTAACAGCCACCCAAGCCACCAGCCACTACAAGAGAGTCTGCCACGTCCCCTTCCTCCCCACACAGCCTTATCCTTTGGGGCATCAGACTGAGGCCTGTCTGCCTGGTGGCTTTCACTAGGCACGAGGTCATCCTCCTGTAGCTCCTCTGCTTGCTCCTGTTGCCCACGGCCCATAGTATTGGGCATAGGGTCAAATGAGGAGGGCAGTGAACTTCAGACTCCCCCCAGAAGGGCTCCTCTCCGCAGACCTGCACAAGCCATGGTGACTCCCAACAGCCCGAGGAAGAGGCACCCGCCCTTCCTCCTGCTCATGATGGGCTCCAGACCCCAGCAAGAATGTTCCCCTTCTCCCTTTACTGGCAACAAACAAAGCACCCGGCCCATCCTGGCTCTCCCTCCACCACCGCAGACTCCTGTCCAACCCGTATTTATGTGTTCAACAAAGACATTGGATAGAGAAGACTGGTCACCAGAGAAGGAGGCCATCATCACTATCTTCAGTGACCTCAGAATGACACCCCCCCTCCCCCCACCAATCTCTTCCAAACCAACCACCTGACACAGCGGCCATTTTTTAAAACGACCACCAGAAAAAAAAAAGACCACCAGGGAACCCAGGGACTATTCTGATCCTAGCCGAGATGTCCCCTTGGCTTCCATGACAACCCTCTCACCTTCCTGGCCTTTTCTGCCTCCTCTGCTGTACCCCATAAGTAGTGATGATAATCACACTCTTCTCAGAAAACTACAGATTGATTTTGGCTAATGTCTACGACCATGGTTTCAATACCAATCAGTAAAATGACATGGGTTGGGCGCCTGTCCCCAGATGGCTTTCCTGGGCCTATGAGGATAGCCAATATCCTCTTGGCTGTCCCTAAAATGTCTTAAATTCCTGATGTCCCACCCACGCAAACCTACCATCTTCTCTCTGGCCCCCACCCTAATGAACCGTCTCTTCTTATAGCCACCTCCTAATCGCTCTTGAATTGATCCCTACTCCTTCTATCTTGAGGTAGACCTTCCTCATCTCTTACTTAGAAAGCTGCGGTGGGCTCTTGCCTGGTCTTTCTGCCTCCTGCGTCATTACCTGTTGCTCTCCAGATCTCCAGACTCATGACAACCCCCTAGGGCAGCGCAGGTGAGTCTCACACATCGTAACCCTCACGTCTCTGGAACCGCTGCTGGGTTGGAACTGCCAACCTGTCAGTTTGTGGCCCAGCGCTTAACCACTGTGTCACCCGGGCTCCTTCCTATCTAGTCACTTGTCCATGCCTAACAATGAGTTTTCTAAAACTCCAATTGGATCCCCACGTTCCTCCTCCTAATAGCCCTCCTCTGCCTTCAAGATGATGTGCAAACTTCTTAGGGTGACATTACAGGTCCCATGAGACCCGGACCCCGCTTCCTTCCTCAGCTGTTAGCTTCTCTCACCCACCCAGACCTCCCACTCCTCACCTCTGACTGCTCAGAAACACCTGCTCAGCTCTGAAAGAATAACGCACTCCACGTGGGACTGACCATCCACCCTGTGCCCTTTCCTCTGCCACAGTACCTGGGACCAGTGACATGCGTGAGTTTACGAGCCCACTCGCTCTCCTTGAGAGCAGGGGGCCATCTTTCACGATGGCTGGTAGCTGTTGAATTCAGTGAGTGGATAAATGAAAAAAACCCTCGAAGCCACAGAGAGACTGGCATTCGAGACTCTACCAAGGGGCCAACCTGGATCTTTGCTAGGGAGCTAGACTTGACAAGAAAGGGGGTCCTTCTCAATGGCAGACCTTCATTTTACAGGGTGCCTCCCCCTCTAGATCCTCACCACAGCCCATTCTATGGCAGAGACACAGACGCAGAGAGCCTAAGTAACTCGTCAAAGCACACGAATGGCAGAGGTCACATTCCAACCCAAGCCTTCCAGGTTCCACAGCCTCGGCTCTCAGCTCGACTTAGGGCTGGTTGAGGAGACCACACATGGAAACAGAGGGCTCTTCCCAACCAAGTCTGAAGCCAACAGCTTTCTCAGTTGACACCTTCTTACTACACCTGCTCTTTCATCTGCAAGACACCATCTCTTCATCCTTTGATTGAACTCCGCCCTGCCTGGCTCCATAGTCGCCTTCACCTGGCCTGGACTCCTAAGGCAGCCAGAGGCCTTGAGCCAGGGTCACAATTTCAACTGTGTGTTCACTCCAGGGCCCCCACGAAACAGACCCATAGCCAGTTTGTGTTTTACTGACCCAACGACGTGCCACAGGCCCTGACAACCTCCCGTTTGCGGGCGGGCGGGCGGGGCGGACAAGCAAAGTCAGTAACTGCTCAGCTCCACGGAAGGCGAGCTGCTCTCCAGTTCGGGGGGCAGACGGGGAGCCCTGGACTGAAGCAGCAGTCGGCAGGAACTATTGAGCGTGGACACCCGAGGGGCTTCATAATGAACGAGGATGATGGAGGGAAAGGGCAGGCGGCGTGCGTCCCCTCTCTAGGTAATGGACACAGGGGCCTAACTCAGAACTCACAGGTGATGCTCATTTGCAGAGTCCTCCTCCCAGTCCCTCGGGCGGAGGCGCACCCCCGGTACCGGGGCTGGGGTTCTAGGATCGGTACCAGAGCAGCCGAACAGGGTATGGAGAAAGGGAGGGAGGGGGGGAGGGAGGGAAGGGGAAAGGGAAAGAGGGAACTAGGGCCAAGGATCAGGGTGGTCGTCTCGGCTGGGAAAGGCCGCTGCGGCCCCGCCCCCGTCTGGAGGCGATTGTGATGTCACGCACGGAACCTCCACACTCTCCCCGCCCGCAGGGGCAATGGAACCGCCTGCCCCAACCGCGCGGACCGGGTGGGCGCTGAACTGTGGGCTCCAGCTTGGTCTTGTGCTCCATGGGCGGTGGCCCGGGGCTCGGGCTAAAGCCTGGCAGCGCCTCCCAGTTCTGCAGCGCCATGCTTGCGGCTGCGGCTCCGGTAGCTCCGCCCCAGCGAGGCGGAGGGCGAGCCTCCCGGGGCCTCGGGACCCGCATCCTCCAATCATTGGTCCCCGACTTGACGAGGACCCGCCCCCCAGCCCTGGCCCCGCCTCCCCGCCCGGGAACCTCGTCGGAGGTTCCACCCTCTCCTCGTCTCTTCGGGCCAGTCAGCCCCCGACCCCCAGCCCACCGTCGTCTTCGGCCCGCCCCTCCTTACCCCTGCTCTGGCTCTCCTCCCAGTCGTTGGTCTCGCGCCCAGGCACTTCCCTAGTCCATCTTTCAATCCTCAGGGTCGTCCTCACCCACATCGCTCTCAGCCCGGTTCTTCGTCTCTACGGGGCTCTCTCCTCGCGGAAGTCCAACCCCTCAGCCCCAACCTCAGTTTCACCCAAGTCTCCTAGCCCCGCCTCATGCTTGCCCAGCGCCCCCCTCCCGCCCACCTCCCCCACCTTGAGCTGGCCTTGGTCTTCCCAACCTAGCTCTGACCTTAAGCTTTGTTCTTCATCCGGGACCTCCCAGCTCCTCCCAGGCCTTTGTCCCACCTTGAACCCTTCCTCCTCTCTGGCCAAAACCTTAGCTCGGCCGATCAGGCCCAGCCCTCAGTCCCATCCCTAGTTCCTCCCCAGGTGCACTTCCGGCTTCGTCCGACCCCCCAGAGCGTAGCCCCGCCCTGACCCCGCCCACCAGGCCCTTAGCCCCGCCCAGTCACGCCCACAGCCTGGCTCGGCCCCGCTGGAGGGCCCGGCCCAGCCCTTCGGGACCCCACGGGGCCTTTAGGCCCGGCCCAGCCCGCGGGAAATGGACCACCTGCCGCTGTGGAAGCTGTTCGAGGACCTTCCCTCTCAAGCTCGAGTTCTCTCTCTCTCTCTCTCTCTGTCTCTCTCGGCCTCAGGCCTCTGCACAGGAGCCCACTCCCCCCGAATCCCCGAATGCCCTAATGAGGTAGTGGTGTCCGCTTCTAGCTCCGTGGTGGGTCCAGGTCCGGGCCACCACAGGCTGCCCCCCCAGCCCTCCTACCCCAGTGTCTCCTCCTCCCCCCCGGGGGCCACCAGAGTCACTACCCAATAAAGAGCACGTATGTACCTGCATCCATTTGCCCCGTCAGAAGGCAGGCAGTGTTCATGGTAACGCACTACATGCGCACCCGCACTCTTAAAGATAACGCACACTCTCGAGAGGCACAGGGAATTCACACACATACTAAATTAAAAAAAAAAAACAGCCTCACTGCCATCCAATCAATTTTGACTCGTGGCAGCCCTATAGCGCAGGAGAGAACTGCTCCTTAGGGTTTCCAAGACTAACTCTTTATGGGAGTAGAAAGTGTTTGAGGGCACAAAAGAGCCCCCATCCCGAAGAGAACATTTACTAAGTCTTAAAAGACAACGCAAACGCAGACGCGTCGTTGCGATGAGGGAGGCCACCAGCACGCGGTGGAGATGGCGTCCACGGGCTCCGAGATACCGAGCTTTAAAAAGGGCACGGGTGGGCACAGAACTGTCATAAAGGCATGGTGGGTGGCAGAGCAATGCATCACAGTCACAGGTGGGACACAGAAGCTGGGACAGGACCAGGATTGGGAGGGGGCCTCTGACCAAGGTAGTCAGGGGAAAACGGTAGGGCACGACTGGTGACTGTACAACCCCCGTACCTTCCCCAGTCTGCTGACCTCCATCAAGGACACACCTGGCATGCCCCAGAGACTGTCCCTCCCAGGGCTGGCCAGAGAGGGTGGAGGCGTTCTCCGTTCTCCGAGGCATGCTGCCTGAGGGTAAGATTAGCCGCTTGCTTAGTTAAGGACCAAAGTGCTCATGGAGGCTTCTTCTAGGCGTGCGTAGGGTGGGGGGTGGGATCTGCAAACGGACATTGGGCTGTCACTGCCCTTTTACAAACCAGGGCGCTCAGAAGTTTAGCTCCAATACAATAGCCTCATCTTTCTCCTGAGGGGTCCTGGTGTTTTCAAACTGCTGACCTTGAGGTTGGCAGCCCAACCTCTCAGCCACTGGGGTCACACACATAGCACACAAGAAAAACATACTCAGCACACAGCCTAATACAGTGTGCTCACATGCACATTGCTGGCACACACACACACACACACACACTCACACCCCTGATCCTCACACCCTACAGACCCCCAGGCCATACTATGATACAGGCTTCACATAGACTCAATGAACCGATTTCTAAGCATGGCCAAAAACTGGTGGTGTGGTGGGTCACAAGTTGGGCTGCTAACCTCAAGGTCACCAGTTCAAAATCATCAGCTGCTCTGTGAGAGAAAGATGAGGCTTTCCCCTTTGTAAACAGTTCCAGTTTCAGAAACCCACAGGGGCAGTTCCACTCTGGCCCGAGTCACTGTGGGTTGGAAAAGACTCCATGGCAGTGAGTTCGATGTTCTGCTTGGTGCAAGGTAAAAGGAGCCCTAGGGCTGTCTGGGAAGTCAGACTGTTAGCCTCAAGGTCAGCAGTTCAAACCCAACAGCAGCTCTTCGGAAAAAGATGATGCTGGGAATCCAGGACAGATAAACCCCTCAGGACCAATAATAAGAGGAGGGGAAAGGAAAGGTGAGGGAGAAATGGGGAACCGATCACAATGATCTACATATAACTCCTAGGGCACAGGCAACAGAGAGTGGGTGAGGAGAAACATCAGTCAGTGTAAGACAAGAAAAAATAATAGTAATGTATTAAATTATCAAGGGTTCAGGAGGGGGGAAAATGAGGAGCTCATACCAGGGGCTCAGATAGAAAGTTTTGAGAATGAGGATTGCAACAAATGTACAAATGTGCTTGACACAATGGGTGGATGTTTGGATTATGTTGTACGAGCCCCCAATAAAACGATTTAAAAAAACAAAGATGAGGCTGTCTTTTCCCATGAAGGTTTGCAGTCTTTGAGATGGGAATGGGAAGTTAATAATGGATACAAGAATGAAGAAACACGCTCTAAAGTTGATTGTGGCGAATACCCAACTCAACATATTTAACCACTGAATTGTAGGATATGTGAATTATATGTCAATGAGATTGTTTGAACAAAGAAAGATGTATAACCTTGGAAGCCCTGTGAAGGACGGCTGAGTCAAAATAGACTTGACAGCAGTGGGGCTTGGGTTTGAGGCAGGGGGGCAGCAGAGCCCAGTGGGGGAAGAGAAGGAAAAGCACAGCATTGCACCCTGGCATCGCTCCCTCGTGGCATGAGGGCTCTGGGGAAAGGATGATGGTTGAAGTGAGTTGTTCAAGTTCATCAAGGCTGTCTCCTGCGACTCCAGCCCTGCCTGTTCCCAACCTTCCATCGCTTTTTTTCCCCAGATCTGGGAACTTGAGGGTAGACCACTGCCCATAGCTTTAGGGAGGTCCTGAACAAGTCAGGGAGAGGAAGCCGGCCGGAGTCAGGCCTGGGAAATGGCCGTGATTTGTGAGTGGAGGCAAAAAACCCTCCTGCTGTTCGAAGTCCACCCCAGCTCACAGCCACCTGCAGGAAAGGTAGAGCGGCCCCTTTGGATTTCCAGGTTGCAAGCTTTCAGGGGCCAACCACATTTTTGTCCCTCATAGCGGCTGGGGGAGTCTATCCATTGATCTCTTTGTTAGCAGCGGCGGGGGGG